TTTAATTAAACAATGTATTCAAGTAAGTTCTGTTGGGTTGCCCTCGATATGTACTACCCTGGACCAACATAACTAGGATGTAAATTCAAGAATTACATTTTTCTGTGGTAGACATCTCAGGGGGTCTCCACCAAGTTGGTGGGCTTTAGTTTCATACAATTACTAGTAGAGAAATTTCTGTTACCCCTTCCAAGTATTCACAGTGCTTCAGAATAACTCAGGCCTTTCTTTTCCCTGCTAGGCAGTCCTTGACTTATTTGGGACCTATGAGTTTTTTTATGTACTACCTCTCAGAGTGGAACCAAGAAGTTGCGCCTCCTATTTCCACTAAGATCTGTGTAACTCCATCCAGCTTCTTCCCCACAAGATCCTTCATTTGCTTGGGTGGACCCAGCCTTCCACAAGCTTCCTGGAACTGCTGTTTGCTTCTCTAACATGTCAATCATGCCATCATCCCTCCGCCTCTTCTCTGCTTCAGCGTCTTCTCCATTTGCATCCTTAAGTACCAGCACAAGCAAGCCTTTGGGATCCTGCAGGTCCTTCTTTTCAGATTCTTTTTATGGGCCCTTTTCTGAGTGTTACAGAGTAGTTGCAGCACGCTGTCATCTTTCTCAGTTGTTGTTTCTGGGTTCCTCCTGTGGGAAATGCTCCCAAAGAGGAAGGAAAATTTTGCTTGGCAGGAAAGAAAAAATCAGGCACAGTTCAAGCTTCAGCCTTGAAAATTTGACCCTTTGTTTTAAGCCATTTGTTTTTATACTCAGTTGTATCTTACCTTTAATAATGGGCTTACCATTCTGTTTGTGATTTGAGTGTCATAGCAGGACACTAGCAATAAAAGGGAAAATGGAGATAAAATGATGTACTGCTTCCAAGTACAGAGCCAGAGCTAACTACTAGCTTGCCAAACTGATAAAGTGGCAATGAACGCCTGAATGGCAGATCATAGCGTCACCCTGGTAAAGTGTAAGATATACAGACAATAGTAAAACATTGTTATGTTACCGTCAGAAAGGATGCTTTAATTGTAATCTTAATAATTGCATGGAAGAGTTAATCCTGCTTTGTCAGAAGCAGTTTTATGCGATTTCTGGAAGAACAGCAATGGAGTCGATTCCCTGTGCTAAAACAGTAATTGTTTAATTCAGTGTGATTGTTTATTTCAAAAACAGAAACAACAAAAGCCGATTGTTACCTTAAATTTGATAATAATTAATTGTGGGACAGCAAATCGTTATTAAGTTCAACTGCAATTTCAGAGTTTCTCTCAACCCTGTCTCCTTGCTTTGTCCTTCTCAGTCAATCCCCTTATTTTATAAAAAGCCCATCTGCATCCTAAATCCATTTTTAAACTCTTGCCTTTTATTGCCTTGGCAGTTTACAGTAGAGCTCTTTTGTTCACTTTGTCCCCCAAATTAAATTTCCTATGGACCAGATCCTCAGCCAGCCTAAGCTGGGCAGAGCTCTATCAACAACCACCACTCTGCTGATCCAGATGATCGAGCCCCCTCCTATTAATCACTGGCCCTTTCCCCCATCCCCCAGGCAGATTGCTTGCATGGTGTTGGCAGGGTTCCTGTATCATCTGTTCATTCACTAATAACACTATTCAGCATTTATTGGGCCAGTCTGGCTCTCTGCACATTCAGCAGTAAAGCTGCTATTGACTGCATGATGGGGAAGCAGAATCAAGCCATATAAAGCTGCATTACTTGGTATTCTGAGAGCTCGGTGCAAACTACAATGCAGTTAATTCACTAATGGTTTATATTTGTCTTGCTTGTGTCATAGTGAAGCGAAAATGTTTCAGCACTGCGGGGGGGGTGGTTCACAGGATCGTTGTTTGGAGGATTTGAGTCACGTCACAAAAGGCAAGTTGTGGGCTTTGCTCCAGCAAGGACACACCTTAGTAACTGTAAGGCGCATTGCCAAAGACCTCCCTGTTAAGGGAGGTAAGATTATACAGTCTGTGTTGCCTGATTATATAGATCAAATACAATTGCCAGATAAAAACAGTATGAAGGACAAAATATTTTCAGCAGAAAGAGTGAATATGATCTCACTTACACCAGGTTACACCATCTACACTCTTGCTTTCTATGGAGAAGAAAGCTGCACCAGGTCCATTACCTTTTTTAATGAAATGCTACTCTAAAAGGGTAACCAAATTTTTAAGATAAACCATATATGCTTTAAAGAACAGAATTGAATGATTGACATATTTGACTCTAAATCAACTTTAAGACTTAAAATTTTGAAGAGTATTACTGGGGAATATCATGCTTTCTAAAGTCTCTCCTAGTATTTTGTCAATGAGAGCAGGCATTAAAATAACACAAAGCAGCTTTAAAAAATGAAAGAATGCTTGGCATTTTGCAGTGTATGGTTTGTTTTGGTTTTTAAATGTGCTTTTACCTAGCAAGAAAAATATATTCTTCAGAAGGATTTAAAACATATTGAACATTAAAAAGTCTTAATTCAATATTTTCATTATGTCAGTTCTTGCAAATTTGAAAAGGTTCTGAAAAATTTGCAAAGCACATCCATGCAATTTTTAAGGAGTATATTATTCTAATTAATTAATTATCTGTAATTATTTAAAGGAGATTATTTTAAAAGTGTTTTAAACAGTTTAATCTTATAGCATTGCAGTTTAAAATACAGCGTAACAAAATGCATAATTACGGATGTAACTGACAGCAAAAGAATGGCATACGTAAGCAAATACACCAATCTCATTATCACTGATATGTAAATACCCACCATGGAGACACAACCTGAGCTTAGTTTGTTCATACTGTCGAAGAAGAGAAAAGCATTAAGTCAAGGAACTGGTGTGTGGTGCCTTATTTCTTCCCCAGCCAAATTACTTCTCCCTGAAATAAGCATGATAAAAATATTCATTTTCCTTGACTCACATTTTGGAGTGCGACTTGGTTCTGTTTCCACCATAAGAACAGTCTTGCAGATTTGACATCCATACTTACCATATAGGCTGTTAATCCTGTGAAGATTTAAGTGTGGGTCTAGCTTAATGCACAGAGTAGCCCCAGTTACTTCAGCATGTGTTTTCTGCATGTGGAACATCAATGAAACAAAGCCCTTGTTTTCAGTTGTCATTTTTGAGTAACCATTGCTTTCTGTTTTGACAAAATTACTTTTTACTATAGCTGCAGTTCTTTGAATACCAGTATTTTTATACAAATGTATTTGTAGCCTTGATATGGCTTGCTAATACAAGTAAATGGAATTTAAGTGTAATACCATTCCAGCTAAGAATCTTTGGGGAATTTCTGGTACGTGGACCAGGGGACCTGTGACCTCTGCATTGGCCAGGGACTTTCTCCCAGACAGCCCATGGCTCCACCAAGCTTCTCCTCAAAAGCCCGCTGTCATCCTCTTTTCCGCTGTGATAACCCTACCCTCTTCCAGCATCTCATCCCACCCCGCGTTGCTCCACGCCACGCTGTCCCAGCTGCTGCCTAAGTCTCATTTCATTCTCTGCTGTGCCCCCTTTGCCCTCTACCGCTCACCTTCCCCTTCTCTAGCCTGGCTGAAACAGCAGAGGAGCTCGGTGTGGAGTAGCACTGGGCGCCTCGGTGGCTTTGCACAGGGATGACGCGCTGCCTTGGATCTGCAAGCAAGGCTGAAGGACCTGCACGTGCAGAGCGCTGCAGGAAGGGAAGCTGAGGCTGGGTGAGGAGAAAGCACTGCATGACAGAGAGGTGCTTAATGAACAGCTTAGAAGAAGTATTTAGAAGTCTCACGAGGCCCTCAGTAAAGAAAAAAAATGTTTAGACTCCTCCATGAGCAAAGTTCAGGCCCAGACATGTCCCATATATACCCATGTATGGGTATTTCTTACAGGTATTCACAAAAAGCATCCGTCAGCTCCCACGGCAGTTTCAATAATCCAAACAGCTGCATGGTAAGGAGCCCGGAAGTATTGAATTCCTGTACTTCACACTGTTCCCTGGCATTTCTCAACTGAAAAGCATTTAGCTTGGTTTATTTCAGAGCGAATGTTCCCGTTCAGTTTTGTCCCCCCAAACACATGTTACTTCTTGGATCTGAAGGGCCAGAAATACTGCAGAGGGGAAGGCTGTAATCACAGCAGCAGGAGGAGAGGAGCCAGCCTCAGGCATCCCTCCGAACCCAGCATCAGTGTGATATGCTTTCCGCCTGCCAGGTGAAGCACTCGATTCCTCGCCTTACAGAATCAACACTTCAGCTTTGAAGGATGCAAGTTTGATGCCTGAAGGGCATCTGAAGGGACAGTTTTTGCTACAGCATGTGGAGTCCAAGCTTCCTGAAACTGGTAAAGGAGCATCTCTGGTACTAGCAAACCCAACTGCTGAGGAGCCTCTAGTTTGCTGTGTTTTAATAACACACAGAATGGAAAAAAAAACACTTTCCCTACCTGGACTTCTTCTACTAACCTTTATACTTGAGGTTCTCCAAAAGTAGAGGGTTTCCTAAATTAAAGGAATAAGCTGCCCGTGTTGATGATTGTGCATATACTAAATTACTTTGAATACAACAAAAGCTTATGTTATGTGAGCCTTGAACACTTTAAGACATGCTCTGACCTCACCAAATCATCACCTGGTGGAAACAACAGCACTCCATTGTCTTACAGGAGCTAAACTTGTTTCCTCGACTAAGAATCTATTCCACTGACTTTCAGCTCCTACGTCAAGAAACACTTTGTATGCATTTGCTTCTCTGTAATGTGAGTTGTATTTTCTTGGCTATTGAAAGCAACTGAGAAGCAGAGAGAATAGGGTCTTTTGAATACCCTTCTCACATGTTCACATGCTGCCTTTAATCACACTTGCAGGAAGAGGTCAGCCTTTCAAGCACAGCTCTGAGGATGTCGGCGGTCCCGTGAGATCAGGTCTCTGTACTGCCAAAGGCCACGTGACTGTCTTATGCTGTCACAATACTTAATCAGGAAAATATTTTTATTATGGAAACTACTTTCTTTGATTTTTCTGCTTTAGGCTCTTCAGACATACCAGACTGATCCTGCCATGAGAAAGATGCTAACTCAGCTGTATTTCTATATCATGCCTGTATTTAATGTGGATGGATATCATTTTAGCTGGACAAATGTAAGTAGCATCAGTAGTATTACTCAAAAAATTGTTCAGACAGGAAAGATTGAATGGTTGCTACATCATTCAAAGGTGACTTTCTGTATAATCTGGTCCATCGCTTTGTGGCATGCAAAATGGAATTAAATTACTCCAGTTAAAATATAATACTGAGTATGTTTACCAGGGTTGGTTTGTTATGTGTACACATAGATTTTTGCCAAGATATAGTAATATTGCTATTTAACTGTTTTATAACTCATGTTAGGATCGATTTTGGAGAAAAACAAGATCAAAGAATGCAAGGTTTCGGTGTCACGGTGTTGATGCTAATCGCAACTGGAAAGTGAAATGGTGTGGTAAGTCTGGAGATACTTCGGTCCACCAGTTCAGATTACCCTGTATTAAATTATCCAACAGAGGGAGTAGGTTAGGTCACATCCGTTGTGAAGTGTTCTCTTTTCCATAGTTAAAGTTGAAGCTACTTTCCTGTAAAGCCACAAGCCAGGGCTCAAATCTTCCTTCTAGCGTCTAAAAAAATAAAAGTCCTGAACTTTGGAAAAAACACATCTCATCACAAGTAAAAAGATTTCATGCCGAGTGTGGCACAAGTAAAAAACCGCACATACAGCTATTCTGTATTTCTGCAATCATGTAAATAATTTGAAGCACAGTATTGAGCCTGGCCCATCACATTTCAGAATTTACCTAACTACAGCTTTAGGAAACATTTCAAACTTCATTTTATTTAATTCATCATTTCTTTGAAATGGTTTTAGCTTTGGAAATGTCAGACTTGCTTTGTTGGCCTCACGGAGAAATGTCTGAGAATATTTTAAGGCCATTATTACTAGTGATTTAATATAGAAAGAAGGTGCTTCTAAATGCATGGAGATCCATTTTAACCTCCCAGCACTTCTGTAAATACTTTCATAAAAGTTGACCTCAACTTTGCATAGAGAATGCAGCAGTAATGAAATACTAGCAGCAGATTTGGAATGGGTCCACTGAAGCAGAAACGGTATTTTATTAAATCTTAGAGCAAGACTGCAACTCACACGGGAGTAAGCAGCCGTACAAGTTCTGGGGCAGCAGAAAGTAATAGCAATTTGTTGTGAAATACGGCGATATATACCCGGTTCTTCTGCTGACCTGCTCTCCCACCTTGAGCAACTTCCTTCACCTCCCTGTGCAGCTGTCTTCTCCTCCAGCATTCGTCCACCTTCCTTATTTACATTATAAACTTGTAAAGACAAAAATGGTGTTTGCATAGCACTAGCGCAATGGCCCGCCCTTCAGCCCATCCCTGTTCCACTGGAAGTCTCTAGATATTTCTGCAATAGTCCGATTACTTGCAGTAGGAGTAAGCACTGTGCAGTCTGGCTTGCAGCGACTGGATTCTCTAGGTACATTTTTGAGAACTGTAAGGATAAAAGTGAGCGTGAATAATCTGCCTGGGGCAATTACAAATGAGGTGAGAGTGAACAGAAGCATATATCCAATACAGTATGGACCTGTGAAATATGCTTTCAATTTTTTTCAACTCTACTTGCAGTAAGGAGAGGACTTGCACAGAAGCAGTTACAGAAAGCCTATGTTAGCTGAGAATCCCTCCACTACAGACGACAGCCCCAGGGCTGATATCATGATATTTAAGGCAATTTTATGCTGCAAAACTAATGTAAAAATGAACCAAAGTCCTGCATCACTGTTATCACCTTTTACTTAAGTGCGTAAGTCACAACTGCAGGTATTTTGGGGACAGACATTTACTGTTCGGAAGATAGCCACCGGCATAGTTGGAATGAATGGTTGTCTTACAAAGTCTTCAGAGCTGTATTATAGGTATCTATCAGTGCAACACTAATAGTCACACAGTGCATTTTCTTTCTAGTCCTAATTAATCTTTCTTGGGTTCAAATCACTCTGCTCCCCTCTCTTCCTGCTCCCTAGCCACTGTATTAAAGCACGCTTTTTACTCAGTCCTGAAAATGTTTGCTTAGTTTTCAGTAAAAAAACCATTTTTCCTAAGCTGAGTGAAACTGTAACAATACACACACATGCTGTGTGTTGTAATCCACTACTTGTTGCATTTCTCCCCCGCACTGAACATGAAAGACAGGTCCCCACCCCGAGTTTAAAAAATAAAAATTCCTTCAAGGTTGCTCGTCATCCCACCAAGCACATGCTCTGCTTCCCTCACCAGATCCCAAACTCTGCCTGATTCTCTATTTTGCCAGAGAATAAAGAGCTCTTTCATGAACTGGGCTGACTCGTGCTCAGAAGATCCTCACCCGGCACCCTATGTTCTCATTATTCTGCCACTAAATGAGGCAGAGACGAATCTGGATCGTATCACACTTTGAGGCTTGTGTAATCATGGTGTGTTTAACATTTAATACTGCATATGCTTGTAAAAACCTTTTAATTCAGTTCAGTCGCATTTACAGTTTGCAGACAGGCTTGAACTGCACTGTGGGGCTTCCAGGCAGGTGTGTTGTGGCCACACGCGGCCCCAGCAAAGCCGCTGAATGCTGGCTTGCAGTGAGCTAGCCGGTAAAGATAACACAGCTTTCCTTCTGCTTTCCTCTTCCCTTCTAGTGCAGGACTTTGAGGTAAGCTTTATGATGTTGCTTCTGTATTCTCGAGGGACCGAGAAAAGGGCCATAGCACTGATTGTGGTAGATTTCACTTCGCAGCGCACTGTACCCAAAATAGTGCACAGAAATTGCACACAGACCCAGGTGAATACTGACAGCAAGATCTCTGGGTAGAAATGCTCCTTGCCATCTATATATGTGTGCAATAACTAGCACAATGGATTAATGTTCGTAAAACAAATTGCAACTTTAAAGCCAATAATGAGGTACTTAGAACTAAATTATGTCGTAGGGCAAATCCAGTTAAAGGGGTCGCATCTGAAGCACCCAAGGGAGCAGCAGCGGGAGTTAAAATTTCCGGCGCATCCCAATTTCCAGTGCACCCCATTGCTCACCGAGGACAGCACCCCAAGCTGGCAGAAGAAGTTTGGCTGGCAAGGAAGTTTGAGAATCATGCTCCAGCTCATCTGTCCTCCCAGTCTTCCTTCCAAAGCATTGGTTTTATCAGTCTCTGCACACATTTCCTTTGTACATTTGATCTCATGATGGATGTTGGATGATACTTGTCCTCCCCCAGTATGCTATCAGGTACAAAAGTAAGGCAGCATGGTAACATTTTATGCAATTCCATTTTCTTCTCATGACTGTAACTCAGAAATTTCACAGGAGTCAATACGTACTGTATCTTTTTTTCCTTCTTGTGTTGCTTTAAAAGAACTTCCAGTATGAAAATTGAAGATATCTTACATTATCCAAGGCCACCATGGAAACCCTCTCTACTACCAGCCAGCTTCACTTAAGGAAAAGCATTAACTACAGCTGGGATTGCAAATGGCTCACGATAGTAGGCTGGACAGTTTAAAGAGTTTTTTCTTCACTGAAAGTCACTAAACTGAATCATATTTTACCACTGGGTCATTTTACCATTAGCCTGTAGGATTCTGTTGTTTATTAACAGTGATGGCCATTTTCATGATTCAGTATACAACACTGTTACAGGAGATGAAGTATCCATAAAAAAAAGCAAAGGCTCCAGAGGCTCTGTTAAATAGCTCTCCTTTAGCTGTATTATCTGACAAGACATCAAGGCAGAGTGCTCTTGGGATTTGGATGATTTGGTGGCCATCTGTTCTGCAGGGAGGAGACCATCTGCCCTCTATATAACCCTTCCGTATCCACTGCAATCTAAGCACTAATACCTTTTGAAATCCCCACCTGTGGCCATTGAATGGTAGCCTCAATTTTCATATTACAAATGAAGCTGCAGCATGAAATTCTTCCACTTTTTAATTTTATTGGCATTAGGTTGATTGCATAACCCTGTTTTAGTTCATATTACTATGCCTTCTCACACATAGCTCTTTTCTTATTATTTGAAGATGGCAGTACTTACTATACAAGGGAAAGCTAATAAAACACTGCTTTTGTAAGTCCCTGATGACACCAGGGAACGTCACAAACAAATTCATTATTCTGTGGGTCAGTGTAAAACATGTGGCATTTTGAAATCACAGCAGAGTGGATTTGCATAAATACTGTTCTTTTAGGCCCAGGCCCTAGGCTGTAAATGAGACGGTGGCTTAGATCCAGAATTGCTAAATGATAAAGGAGCCACTGCCACATCTCCTTTTCTGAGTTTCATCTTTCAGTACCTCATGGGATATTACAGGCAGGCTACACTTCTGCAGCTTACTGCCACCTGAGCAGGTTGACGTGGTGAAAGATATCCTCACAACTGAACCCCTGCCCCAAACCTGAAGGATAATTAAGCCCTGTGCAAACTGAGATGATTTCTATTTTAGCTAACTAACCAATCATCCCATGTGGCTTGTCATTTTTTTCCCATAAGGTTTGCAAGAGTAAAAATAGGCAGTAGTCAGGAACTATTCTCGTGTTTTAAACCAGTGTCTAAGATAATGCCTGTCGAGGTTATCTACCTACTATTGTAACCACCACTGTAGTAGCTAGTCTATTAAAATGCTCTTAAAAGCTAGATTTTTCTTGGCAGTGACTAGTGAAAGAGATACAGCTCTCTGATTTCAAATAGACCAGCTGAGACCCTTCAATAGTTTTAATACTGGAATGGTATCATAAAATATGCCGCTCATATGGAAAGCCAGGGAAGAAAATACAATTAAGTCAGGCTCTCCTTTTTCTGTTGGGTTAAAAATACATCCTCTGGGGAGAACTGTGCGTAGTTGGCCGACTGGCAACTTGGTGTGTCTACTAGATGAACAAGCAGATTGCTGTACTGAGGTCCCACTGGCTCATGCCCATCAGTCACAAGAAAGCAATTTGTTTATTGCTTCTCACACTTTTGCACGTGGGCCCACAGGCTGAGCCAGAAGTTGATCCTTGGAAGTTCTCTGTGATGGTTCACCATCAACTTTCTCTTTCAATCTCTAGATGAAGGTGCTTCATTTCACCCATGCGATGACACCTACTGTGGTCCCTTTCCTGAGTCTGAGCCTGAAGTAAAGGCTGTCGCTCATTTTCTCCGCAAACATCGGAAACAAATAAAAGCCTATTTGTCCTTCCACGCATATGCACAGATGCTGCTGTACCCTTACTCTTACAAATATGCAACTATTCCAAACTTCAGCTGCGTGGTAAGTACATCTCTCACGTAGGAGAATATGCTTCCCTACAAAGTATCTTTTGGTACATTTTGTTTTGAGAGGAGTCTTGTTTCTTCAATACTTTGCACATATTTAATATTGAGTGGTATTTATTCTGGATCCGCTTGCAATCACATTTCTGGTTATATAACCTTCACTCAAAGTGAATCAGCGGTAATTTGATTAAAATGGTATAGTGCCTTCCATCCATCAGTCCCTTTAAATTACTTTATAGGATAAATCCCTGGGTTTTAATTATAGTTATTATCATTTTATTTAATTAACTGTAATGGGAATTATGTAGTTAAATCCTTAGGCATCTAGCTGAAATTCTTTCCCTTCATGCTCAGAACTTAAACACTAAGAGCACAAAGAAGATAGTCTTCAATATTACGAACAAAATAAAATTGAAATGGTTTATCAATTAGAGGAGAAATCTCATAGATTTCACCAAAAATAAAGCTTGGATTGCTTTATATATCATCCTGCTCAGACATAGTGTTTTTAACCCTTTAAGACAAACAGTTAATTGACATCAGGGGGTTTTGTCTGTTAGAAGACTAAATTAATAAGAATACCTTTTTTTGATGCAAGCCTATTGATTTACAGATATGTACATTTCACATATTCCATGCTCATCTAAACGCAGAAGAACTATTCCCTCTGCTCGCAGTCTGAGGTCTGTTTTTAGCCAGCCTCTTGTACATAAACCCCTCCCTATGGCTTATTCTCTTAGGGAAACATGCCTAAGCTTTACTCTCTGTTTGCTCCTGCTCACAGACACACATTGCACCAGCCAGTTGCAAACCTCTTTCTTTTGCCCTCAGTCCCCAGTAAAATTACATTGTCCATATAGCTCCCATTTTGGCCTTGAAAGTTGCAGTGACTTTTAACTTACTAGTTTAAGCTAGTTTACTCCAAAGGAGCTTAACTGCACCTTAGATTTATCCTGTGCAGAATAAATGATGTAGTCAGTCCCTGGAGCTTGGCTGAAGTTTCACTCAGCTGCCCTCTCGGGAGGCTGAGCAGCCAGCACTCCACAAACTAAACTCTCTTTGTGGGTTTATTTCTGTTAAGACACTTACTTTCAGCAGCTACTAAAAATTCTCATGTCTGCTGTCATTCCTGGGAAATAGAGCAAATTAGAAGTTAACTAGGCAGCCAGAGGAGCTAAAAACATGAGACTTGCGGGGACTGACCACCCAGCCCCGCACTGACTCTGAATAAACCCATTAATGTTTTTATTTTACCTTCTCCACCCTCTTTTGGGGAGTGGCAAAGAGAAAGGAGCTCCCGAAGTGAATTGGTGATTATTACTTACCAAAAAACATAGACTGGGAATTTAAAACCACAGGATCTCATTCCTTTGAAGACCAGCAGGTGCAAGAATATTTTTTTAAGAACAGATGACACAGCAGAAGGTAAAGACATGGTGATAGGAAGAATCAGCATCTCCTCTGCAAGTATGTGATTACTGATGAAAATATCCAGAGTAACGTCAGGCAATAACAGAGACTGTGTCAGGAAATTCATTGTAAGGAAAAAGAGTCTCTAACTGGGAGTTTTCACACATACCAGTAAATCTTCAGTACATGTTGTTCTTGTTGCTCAAGGGCTATTTCCATTCTGAGACGGCGAGTAACTGCCCCTCAGTGCACACACTCTATCTTTCCATCCACGGCTTTTAGACCAAAGGAGCACAGTTTTTGATGTGTAGTAGGCGTTCCCCAGGTTTGTGAGACCTTGGACCAGGCTTCTCATCAGAGGGAGTGGAGCACAGACCTAAAGGGACAAAGAAAGATACTGTTTTAGACAACAGCCCTGGACAAATGGAAGCCAAATACCAATTCTAAGTATTTTGCCAGTATTTGGACTCTATACTTCGTTTTATTGCAGCGAGTCTAAAAGAACAGGGAGGCTGGAATAAGAAACTGAAGTAATTTCCTGTTATTTAGAAAGCTCATTATGGGGAAAATGAATGGAATACTGTTGCTTTATTTATTTGTGCGGTTTAGTATCTGCCTACAGCCAAAGGCTCCATCACCTTGTGGCTCCTAAATGAATAGTGTTTAGTAACTGAAGTGTATAAAATGGTGACTTAGGCTGAGGTTTCAGATTCTCCAGTTCTTCTGGAAATTACAGTGAGCAGAAAGCAGCGCATCTCTGTTTCCTGCTGCTGCTGGAACAAGCACTGTTGGTCTACACGGACTGTGTACAGTGGACAACTGTAGGACTCCACACGCATAGTAGATAAATAACATTTGGCGCTAACAGGGGGGCACAATTAATCCTGAGCAGAAGAAAGTATGTTTCTGTCTGGGTCGTATCATTCTAGTGAGCTGTCAGTTACCATTTCGATTAAAGTGTTCAATTATTCAGAGTTGCTTTGAAACTGGAGAGCAGTTTCACTGCTCAGTGTGATGCAGTTGAGAACTGTCCCCTTCTTCGGGCACATAACTCCAACAGTGGAAGCGAGCAGCACCCCTCAAGGCTAAGAGCATCGGGTTCGCCGTGCCCAGGGATGCCTGCCTACACGGTGGACGTGGACTTGGGTCACTCCCGGTCTGGCCTGCAGACGGTTGCTGCCTCTGCACAGAACCCAGTACTGTTGTGCTGGTTTTAAATGGGCACGGCCAAACTATTTCTTCAGAAAGATTTCAACAGGGCTTGCTTCTGCCATCTCATTGCTGTACAACGTGTAAGTCGTGCACAGGGAGTCATAGAATCATAGAATCATAGAATGCTTTGGGTTGGAAGGGACCTTGAGAGATCATCGAGTCCTCTCCTTTGTGGCTGTGTTCTCCTTTCCGTGGCATGTTTACCAGGACATTGCTTTCCACCCGGCTCATCTCCCTCAGCTGAGCACTGACTCCTGCTCCCTTGGCATCAGGCCTGTTGTCAGGCCACCCCAGCTCCGCACCGCGTCCCTGGGACGGTAAGCGCAGCTGCTTGCCAAATGTCTGTTGAGCCACTGAGGCTGGTAACTGGGGCTTCAGCGTAGGCACCAGACAACAACCCCAGGCTGCCGCTGGAGCTCCCCACTCCCCGGAGCCCTGCAAGGCCCCACTGCCACCGCCCTGGCCTCGCACTGCCGCCCCGCAGCCCTCACGGGGTCCAACACCTCCAACCCCATCATGGGTCTTGTGTGTCGTGACTCACGCAAGTTGAGGCATCTGCAAGAGGAGGAAGAGTCCCAAGTGACGTCACTTCCCCCTTCCTCGCACCTCCTCATCTCTGGCGTTAGGGTGAGTCAGAGGTTACCCCTCGCACCCGCTGGCAACCACATCCCAAGCCGGCAGAAGTTCCCAGCAGCGCTGACTTCAGCGGTCCCTGCCTCCACGCGCTCTCTCGTGGAGGGGGCAAGAGGGAGAGAAGGGGCAAGCTGAAAACGTCAGTCTCCAGCACTATCATCCCCGTGCTGAGAAACAAACAAACAAAAAAATCTAGTTGTGCCTAACAGATTTTTATAATGGAGTAAAAAAGTGCTCTTCCATTTGCTAAGAGCAGTTCTCAGTGTAAAATAAACTCTCCAAAGCCCTACTTGCTGGCCCGTAAGTGAAAATGAACTTTTTTTTTTTTTCCCCTGGAATGACATTTTAAAGCAGTTTTCTTTGGCTTCTCGGGTGGACAAAGACCCACAGTAGGAATGCCTGCACGGGTCAGACCAAGGATTAATACAGAATCACAATTCCTGACAATGGCAAACAAGTGGAAGATTAGGGAAAAAGTAAGTATAAATGGAAAGGCAAGTATAGAGTAATCCTTCCCCAGTGCATTCATCTGGTGCCTGATGAGTAACAAGGTAAGGCCCAAGTTCATGAAGACTTGCATAAACTGAAACCTACAGCTCTTCAGTTCACAGAAATAAAACAAATGAAACAACTACTGCAGCTTTATCCAGTGGTTCAAAGTCCAGCAGTTTCTAGCTCCAAAGATGTTCATTTCCTGCTCTCTATAGGGAAATGGCTCTGTGTTTTCCTAGATATTCCTGGCCTTCACTGTACATTCTCCAGGATCCTTTTCTTTGGGATCATAATATTGCTTTTTCTTTTGAATATGTGCATCCTTTCTCTGTGTTTGCATGCACTATCCATGTGTGACCCTCAGAATTTGCCATGGGCCAGGCCTCCTGCACCTTGTTTCACAGGATGCCAGGAACCTCCTAAACAGACTGCATCCATATGGATGTTGAAATGTAGGTGCTGATTTTCCCCATACAGTACTTAAATCATATTTCTGCAATAGTGGAAAGAGTTCTCCGAGCCTACATCATCTGGCCCTAGAGAAAGTTAGACCAGCGGTGAACATTCACCTATCCATCAGAGATTCAGGAGTGGAATTTGCCTCCTTCCTTCTTCCCACTCTGCTCACTGAACCACTGTGGAGTGTCAGGAAGAGATCATTTCTCCTTCACAAGCCCAGCAGAGATGGGGTTTAGTGGACTGGGAAATGCATCTACAGGTACTGGCAGAAAATGCATGCATGGCTTTTAAACTGCATAAAAGAGAGATTATTTCATCTCATGGTCTCATTTGTTGCCTAAATTTGTTGTGTCGCTAAATTGATATATATACCTATAATTACAAATACTTAATGGCTGATCATTCACAGTGCAGTGAGCTGCTTTATGCCATGAAAACACCAAAACAAGTTTTTCAGGGAATTAGGGAACTGCTGTCAATAAAAATATATAATGCATTTATCCTTTAAAATAATTTTAAATCAGCTGCCACGGACTCATGGAATACAGCATTACACCGGAAGTCAATGATCCATAGCTCAGGTTCCACTCCCATTACAGTATTTAATTCAAAGTCTAATTTATGCATTTGTTTTTCTCCCCCCCCCACAGGAATCAGCAGCCTATAATGCTGTTAATGCTCTTCAGTCAGCCTATGGTGTAAGATACAGATATGGTCCTGCATCTAGCACTTTGTGTAAGTTTTCCTCTGGCACAGGTTTGTGACTTTGACCTACCTATAGTAAGAAGGATATTACCCTATTGTAACAAAGAAAGCAAACACTGAAGTGAACTTTGTTCCAGTTGTGGATGGTGAGGAAGGCGGAAGATGAAGTTTTGTAACTGATTCAGTCAGTTGATTGCAGCAAGATTAACTCAATTGATGCAATAAAAGAGATTAAAATGCAATGCATTTGAGAGGCGAAAACCAGCAAATAACATGTTCAGATCATATAAAACCAGAGTTTTAAAAAAAGAAAGAAAAAAGCAGATGTTAAAAAGTGTATCTTTATCAGATACTGTAAATAGACTACTAAGTTATAAAATATTTGGAAGGAATATTCAAGTAGGTTTCATTTTTCACCATTACTTTGCCTCTCCTGTGCAATTGTGATAGATACAGCTATTCATAGAGCTCATTCTAAAATTTAGGGTGATGTCTTTAAAAGCTAGGTTTCAAAAGTCTCTGTGTCTAGATGATGATAAATGATAGCAACAGTATCTTTATTTGGACATCTTCCATTTTTCAGAGAGCAATTTCAAATGCATTTTTCTCTATAACAAAACATCTTTAAAATATGCCTTTTAAATTTGTAACAACATTTGTCAGGCAAGCTCTCCACGTAGACAGGTAAGAGAAAAAGAAGTTCAATAGGTTTCAACGAGATACTTTTTTTTTTTTTTACTGAAACTATGAGGCCTGAATGCTCTCGGTAATGATAAGAGACATTGAAAAAGCGACAAGCTTAAGTAAATAGCAAGATTTTTCACAAGGAACCTTCTGCATCTCCTCTGTTGTTGCTGTGTTTTGGCTAGAGCTCCACTTTATTGTGGGCCTCCATCTCACAGCACGGTTGTCATCTTGTGCTCATTACAATGCAGTCAGTCGCTATGTCAAAGGAAGAGCAGTGTAAATTAATGCCAGAATTGCACAGAAGACAGCAGGCCACATGAGAGATGGATCTTTATATAAATATAAGTGCCTTGGGTAATCAACATATGGAGATAACGAAAGCATAAGAAGCACTCTTCCTCGGGAAGGTTTGTTAATATTAGACACCACCTATGCAAATGCTCTCATCCTGTAAGGAAACAGTGAGAAAACAAGACAGAAATGAAAAGAATTTTAAAAGCACTTTGAAAAGGAGAATGTAGATTACTTTATCAACTTTCTCCCTTCTCCCTGCAAAGGAATTGCCTAAAAAACCCAAGGTAAACCTAGAAGCATGCAGAGCTCCAGTCCAGCTGTGAGATCTTTGTGGAAGCAAAGTTTAGACTGCACTCACCTGGGGATAAGAACAGTTTGAGGCTTTATTCTAAATGTTCTCTTTTATTAAAGTTTTGCTTTACGCAAAAAAGTCAGTTATTAATTTTTTTCCTGTGAAAATCAAGGGTCTAATCCATATTGTACTGAGCCCCTTTCACCAGGTGCTGGGTGCCCACGCCCTTCTCTGAAGGGTGTTCGGGATCAGGGCAAGCAAGAGCTGGAGTGGCAAGTATATTCACTGAGTCCTGGAGACAAAATGCCACAAGAACCCTCTGGTGCTTTCAACATGACCTGCATTGAACATTTTTTTAAATTTTCTCTGAATTTCCTCTTTCAGATGTGAGTTCTGGTAGCTCTATGGACTGGGCCTACAAAAATGGCATCCCCTATGCGTTTGCATTTGAGCTGCGCGACACCGGCCACTTTGGATTTTTACTTCCCGAGACGCTGATTAAACCAACCTGCACAGAGACCATGCTTGCAGTTAAAAATATAACTCTTCATCTGCTGAAGAAATGTCATTGAAGAGCTATTTCTAGGAGCTGGAAGTGAGCGTTTTACTCCCAGTGCTGATGCCTTTCAGTGTGTTCAATTGCCATTCTCAGCTTGGCCACTTCAAAATTATAGAAGCTAATGCGAAATATGGTATTGTTTCTACCAGACTTACTTGGTGGGAAATGGAAAAAATCATTTAATATCTGCTCTATGGAAGTCCGTAAAGTTGATATACTAACTTAGTTACCAGTTTGGTGTAAAATAGCCTGTTCTTTTTGCAATAAAGCTTTGATTCTGCAACTTCAGTGGGGCAGGACCAGGTCCACATACAGGTGCCTGAAATAAAACTCCACTTCCAGACAGTCCCTGGCCTTACTCCTTTCCCTAACACGAAGACTTTCTTTAGTGGGGTCTCTCGAACCAAGGGATAAAGTTTACATTCATGTATATGTACTCTGTGACCCAATACAGGTCCATGTCTATAGCAGTAAATGGCATATAGTTGCAGCGGGCCGCACTGCAAGTAGCAATGTGTCTTCCTTCTGCATGTATACATACATATGTATATGCACTTTTGTGATTTTTTTTTTGTTTCACGTAATGCAAGAATTTGACCCAAGGTTTCCTTTAACTGTTCAGAGAAACCTGTTTTCAAATGTATATATTGGGGTGGACTCAAAATCAACATACTGCCTTTGAAAACGTAACCTTCCCAGAGATGTGTAAGAATTATAATGAAATATTATTGAGATATGCAATACTCTGCTTTATGGAGAGACAAAACAACTTGCCAAGACTTGGAACTTGGAAGCTGGCAGTCAACTGGTGCATCTGGGTTCTGCTATAGTCAGTGTCTGCCCATTTCCTCCAGCCAAGGATCTAGCCTTAAACTGTAATTAACTGATGTTAACTGATGTTTTATTTATCGGTATTCTTGCAGTGAGTTCTGTGGCTCTATGGCTATATGGCTGTTCTTCTTGGAAGTCGTAGTTTTTGCATGTTTTAAAGGAATTAATAATAGATTCTTAAGTGAGCCGGAGGTGAAAGCAGAAGCTTTACAGCTGAAATGCAGTGAATAAGGACCATGTTTGAAAGAATAATAATGAAAGCGCAGAGAATATAACAACTTGTTGAGGGTTTTTTTGGTACTTTTAAAATACTATTTTTTGATCTTACTATATCTGCAAAAGCATATATTTTACTTTATTAATTTTGAGTTTAATCTTATGCCATAACATGTTAAGTAAAACATATTTGTTAATAAAATCATGAAAGGCTTTTGAAGTATTCTTCATATTTTTTTAAAATGTTAAAGCTTTAGTTCAAGGATGTGTCAATTTTACCTATCTGTAAAACATTGCTGATACCAAAGATGCAGTATTTTGAAAAACCTACATCCTCTCTAAATAAGTACTTGAACTTAGCAAATGGGCAACCTTTATGAGACTAGGGAGCACTGTATTTAATTAAGAATACCATTGTTTTCAGGACTGCAAAAGGCAATCAGTAAGCAAAGATGACAGAATTGCATTCTATTTGTTTAACTTTTTTTTTTTTAATAAGAAGTATTCATTTTAAACAAGCTTTCTGAAAGCTTGTTCAGATTTCACTAGTTCAGACTTGTTTGAGTAATGCAAGTTTCTATTCTGGTTTAATAAAAATCTAGGGGACAGAAGCTCTCAAAATATCTGTCCACTAGTCATTTCCAATTGCTTATGACCATAATCATTAAATATTTAGAAGACAGCAATAACTGTCCTTTGCTACACACAGATTCTTGACCAACAGTCTTGATAGTGGTGTAAATTAAATATTAGCACCAATTGTTGTGAGTTATTCTGGATTTAGGTGACAAGATTGAATTACTACAAGACCTAAGAGACTGAGGTGAAGGACAGAAGGCATGAGAGATGCCTAATCAGAATGAGGCGTATTTACCTCTGGATCGCTACAGTACAAACCTTTCCAAGTATGGGCTAGAAGAAACTAGATTCAGATGTGAAGGTTTGAATCCTGCTCGTAGTCCAACAGTTCGTCATATGAAAATTTCAGCTTTATCTTCATACCATCACATCTCCACTGGCACTGAAAAGTAATTGAACTCTTGGAGCACGAAAGGGAAAAAAAAAACCCAAACCCCCTCTTTTAGTTACCAAAAGGACCTAACATTGTATATCTAGTTGGCCTTCTTGGACAGGAATAATTGCAAGTATTCTTACATTTATCTAAGAAGCTTTGACATTTAGAAGTACTTGATATAAAAAACTGTCCATGAATAAAGCTACATCTTGGTACGTGGACGGACTCAGCCTGAATGCTATGTATTATGTGCAACTGAAAACTCTGAGCTGAGTTTTCAAGACCTGTGCAGGGTAATTTAATGCCCCATAGCTGAATACAAGTGTAAACAGTCTCTAAGCCCTTTAATTTCTGGGTCACTAAAGCTGATCAGAAAGACAGTCACTAGAAAAGAACAAACCCTATTTCCTGAATTAAGAATTTGTATAACAGTTTATCAGCAAGAGTGATTCTAAATAGAGCAGTTTACCCTAAGGAAAGAACTACTGAAAGTCGGCTATTTGGATATCGAACGACAGCCTTTGTGACTTACAAATGTTACTTCTCTGAACAGCTCTTTTTTATCTCCATAATTGCTTACTTCTCTTCCCTTTGTACTTTTCTTCAGCAGTCTTTATTGCCTACAGGACAACAGAATCGATAACTGGTTTTGAGAAGAGTGAATTTATTTTATGATCATAGGTATAGTTTATCATTCAACACAACAAAAAGTATGTGAACAGCGAAACAGTGGTTATTAACCCAGCAGTCAAAATCACATATATAATGATTATGTGAAATCCAGGAGTTACACTCCCATTGATTATTGCTAGAATAATTATAACCACTTCTGTAAGTTGGAAAAAGTGCTCAGATAAGTTTTTTGTGAACATCTGTTCTTTTTTTTTGATAGCTTTTTTTTTTATAAACAAAACCCTGAGATGAATTAACATGAAGGAAACAGGCCTATGCCTCTTCAAGTCACCCTCCCCAGCAATAAAATAATTATCCCCAATTACCTTGAATCATTGTTCATAAATAGATTAAAAATTGGCCTTTAGAGGTCAAAAAGATACTGAGTTTGGTTGCAAACCTTGAAGAAACAGCACAGCTGATGGGGGAAGCTCCCCGTGTGTTTTTCAGAAGTTGCTTCAAAAAGGCCAATGTATTTGGTCAGTCATGTAACATGTAAAGCCTACAGAAAACTGCAGTTCGTTTTTGAAATTTCTGAAATTTGAATAGAAAGAGCCCAAATGACCTTGAATGCCAACATGCATTTAGTTCGACCAGTGCCGGTCTGCTTGTCTGTAACAAACTGCAGTGTGCAGATTGTGCTGCCTACTTGAGGACTGCGTAAAATAGCTGTTTATTGAAAAGACTGCATCTCATTCTTAAGGCTGGGAAGAAAGTATTATATTTCCTGCCAAAAATAAGTTACTATCCAACCATTCTAGTTTATTCATGTTAAACAATCCCTTCCCTTTTTATGTTTACATTCAATTTAATGGTACCACTCAAAGAATAAGATACTCGGTAGCATGGGTAGAGTAATAAATATTTTTGCAAGCCCTTTGACATTTTCTTTGGCTGTGCGAAACTACTATATAATTTCCATAGTTCATTGTTGAGCTAACACATGGTTCTCCTTAGCAAATGATGTTTGGGGCAAGGACATTTAGAATAGGTAAATCTTTAGCCCCTGAATGCTCGTCCTTGCCTGACAGGCAGGAGCGGTCAAGCAGAAAAGTCTCGGCTCTCTGCTTGCAGATCTTTTTGAGCCCTCTCCTGAGAGAACGAGCCAAGCACGCCAGGGCTTGCCCTTGGATTTAGACATCAGGGAATGCGCTCATAAATAATAGATTCAAATGTTAATTAAAAAAATCTGCCACTGTCCCCAGCCATGCAAAAAGCGCACTTTGCCTGCGACAAAGAAAATCCATCCATTGCCATAAAGACATGAGGTAATATATTTCATCTGTCCTGCCTGCTCCTAAGAGTCCAGCCACCTTAGCACTGCTTGGCATTATTGAGAAAGGCAGAAGAGCTGTAACAATGAAATATTTTAATCTACCTCTAGGTCTGCAGGAGCATATAGTTCATCTCAAATAATAGATAACTGCTTCTGAAATAAATATTGTGGTACGACTGCGAGCAGATGTTTTAGTCTTTCGTGCTGACTACTACGTGCCAGGCTATTCCTCTGCATACCAGGATGGCTCAATGCTGGGAGGGCAGTCTCTTTTTTTAACCAAATAATGAACCTTTTTTTTTTTTTTACCAGTTCTGAGCAGAATATCAAGTTAGGTCTGAAGATATATACACACAAAATAGTCTGAGAATGTTTCATTTTATAACAGAATTTTCAATTTTCTTGGAAATAATGCATCTGTTAAAATCACAGCCAGACTTTTCAGGTGGCTTATTGTTTTCAGCATGTCAGAACTGAAAAAAACAGTATAGCAGCCTGAAAAGCTGAGCAGAAATGACTGATCTACTTGCTGTTTCATTGCCCTTGTTTCATTTCACTTGGTTTCTAGATTGAGAAAATCTGAGTTGATCGGGTTGAATTGAAGGAGTGCAGTCAAAAAGCTGAGTGTAAAGGGTTCTTCTGTGCTTAATGAGCTAGAAATAGCTACTTTTTTTAAAAAAAAGCAACTTCTTATATTTTAAGTTCTTTATACAGACTAATGCTTTACTCTGAATTAAATTCAGATTCACAGAACTTAGTATGGTTTGGAATGATGTATTGTTATTTTCCTGGGAGCCAGCTGGTTTTCTAAGAGTTACATGAGTGAAATGCCTGCCCATGTGGTAGGAGAAGCAGAGCTGCTCTTTGGCCTTGTTAGCACAGAATCTGTCAAAAAGGCAAAACACACTTGAGCCTTATCTAACAGGATAAATTTGCTATATCATGCTGCATGCGTCTCCATTTCTCTTCCTCCATTTCAAAAAAGAAGTGAATACTGTCTGTC